GAGAGAGAGAGAGAGAGAGAGAGAGAGAGAGAGAGAGAGAGAGAGAGAGAGAGAACACAGGCAAAGGTAGAAGTTCCCAACATGTAGAGGGGACGAGGAGCAACTTATTGGCAATATGCCATAACCAGGCACAGGGTCACCTAGAATGATGTCATCTTGTATGAGAGGGGCTGGCTGCCAATTGCAGGGGTGGGGGACGGGGGAAGTCAGAGGCTGTCGCTTAAACATACCAGAGGAGAAATACTGGGCGTCAGTCGTGTTGGCTACACGTGGACAGACAGACATTTTGAAGAACCACGCTGAGATTATCTCCAGTCAGACGGCAGGAACCTGTTTACCCCAGACTTTCCGCAGCATCTCACGCCCCCTGCTGGACAGGGCCAGGCAGGGTTTGGATCCTGCACACAGGCCCTATGTCACCTCTGACCTTGTTGAAGTTACTTACAGCCCAGTTCATTCCACATGCTGTTCACCGCACTGTGATTCGTCACTGTCAGACAGAGTGGATTCTCCACAGACTGAATCTTCGGCTCCCAGAGAGCAGAGTATGCGTCTAGAACTCTCTAGAACTTCTTCTGCCTGTGGCCTGTACCACAGCCTTGTTCCAGCTGGTTCAGATATTCTCTGTACTTACGGAATTAACAGGTTCAGTCAAGGAGAGCAGTTCATGATGAAGGCTGGACATGGAGCCCTTGACTTCCTCTGCTCACCTGTTACCTGGGGCTGCCTGTTCAGATCTATCAGTGAGTTTTCTAATACACAGCCCACGGGCAGTCAGAGGACATCTCTCTCTTTCTCTCTCTCTCTCTCTCTCTCTCTCTCTCTCTCTCTCTCTTCCCTCTCAGCCTCAGTTATTCCCCAACTTCACAGAAATGGTCAAGTATTTACTGCGTCTCTGCCTCCCCACTGAGTTAATTTTTAACTTCATGACCCCGAGCCCCCTGAGCTGTATATATGTGTTCCTGTGTGTGCACATGCATACACATGTACGTGGCAGTTAGAAGTTGACATCTAGTGTCTTCATCAATCCCTTTATGTGTGGTGTTTGAGATGGCTCTCTCCCAGATCCCGGAGTCTGCTGAGTCAGCTGGACTGGCAGCAAGAGCCTGCTAGAGCCTCATGCCACTGCCTCCCTAGCACTGGCTCTTATAAAAACCTTCACGTAAGGGTTAGCATTGAGATCCTAATGTTACTCTAGAAGATACTTATTAAGTGAACCATCCCTCCTGCCATCTTGTGTCTGTTTTAAACATTCATTTATCACTGATGCTAAGAACCTAGAAAAGGAAGCCTTGGCTCTCAGGTAACGTTGGTAGGGTTTTGTCTTTGAGGTTTTACCACGATGCTACAATGACTTGGAAGACATTTGAGCCACCCTCTTGTACCAAAACACACACGAGTCATGGGCTGGGCCAGGGCTGAAACCAGTGAACTGGGCAGCTGAGCGTTTGACTCTGAGGTCCTTGGGTCCTCTGCAGAGTCCGTCAAGGGCCTCTCTGGACAGAATCCTGTTGTCCCTTAGAATCAGAAGAGGTGTCTGGTCCCTCCTGGTGACTGTGCTGTTGAGTTCAGGGTTCTGTCCATGATGGTAGAACCCTTTCAATATCACAAGCCCTCTGTATCTGATTCTTGAATTCTTAGAACTAATTCACAAATAAGACCAAAGTACTCATTATTTTATATAGTAACTAACTTGTTGATCAAGGGGCTGGGTCCCAGTGGTGATTTGAATGAGAATGGCCCCATAGGCTCATATGTTTGGGTGCTTGGCCCCCAGTTAGTGGAACTGTTTGGGAAGGATTAGGAGGTGTGACCTTGCCGGAGAAGGTGTGTCACTGGGGGGGTCTGCTTAGAGATTTCAAAAGCTCATGCTGTTTCTAGTTAGCTCTCTTTCTGCCTCCTGCTTGTAGATCAGATGTAAGCTCTCAGCTACTGCCCCAGCACCATGCCTGCCTGTCTGGTTATCTGCTGCAATGTCCCTCGCCATGATGATCACAGGCTCCCCCTCTGAAACTGTAATCCTTCATTCAAGGTTCTCTTCTGTAAGTTGCTGCGAAGTTGTTGTAAAGAGACACCATGCCCAAGGCAACTATTATAAAGGAAACATATAATGGGGCGGGGGGGGAGGCTCTTTTACAGTTTCAGAGGTTCAGTCCATTATCATCATGACGGGGAACATGACGGCATGCAGGCAGACATGATACTGGAATGGAGAGTGCTACATCTTGATTCAGGGGCAACAGGAAGTCGACTGACTGTCACACTTAGTGAAGCTTGAGAAAAGAGACTTCAAAGTCCACCCTCACAATGACACACTTCCTCCAACAAGGCCACACCTCCTAATAGTGTCACTCCCTTTGGGGGCCACTTTTGTTCAAACCACCACAGTTGCCTTGGTCTTGGTGTTTGTCACAGCAATAGGGAAGTAGCTACGAAAGCCTCCCATGTCCCCCAAAAGAAACACAGAGACTGTCTGGGCCTGTCCCAGGGCGGTTCCACTTCTTTGCTCCCGTGCCTCCAGGCTGTGCGGACAATAAAGCCTGGAGTTTGTTACCCTGGCAGAGTTCTTTCTTCCAGTGATCGGGACAACAATAGACTCTCAGGTTGAGAGAGTGCCTTTTTATCCCTACGTTGAGATCTGAGCCTCACTGAATGACTGATTCCCACAGTCTAGGTGTGAAAACCCATCCACAAGGGAAAGAGAGGGGCAGAACGGGTCCTAGCTAGCTCATCTCCAGGGATGCTGCCAACTTCCTGAGGATCCAGCAGAGGGCAGAGGGAGGCCTGCCAATCATTTGTCTTTGGTATCTGAAAACCCAGACCCGCCTCCGGATTAGAGCTCCTGAGCTTGGATTGGCTTTCATTTCCACGGTCATGGTGGGCTGGGCTTTATGGTTGGGTGGTTGTCCCGTTTAGGGGCGGGGCAGAGCTGCTCTGGAAGCGCTCTCAGACACTTGATGCTGGGCACCGCTATCTGAAAGAGGAGTCTTTTCCGACCGTGGCCTGACTGCACAGTCTCCAAGGCTGGACTAGAAATCATGCCCGTGACTCTGGGCTATTGGGATATCCGTGGTGTGAGTGAAAGGTTGGGTCGCTAGGTGGGAAGAACCCAGGGTAGAACACAAAGGAAGATTCCCATGAGCCCTTTACCTGCCTCTGTCAGAAGCACCCTGCCCAGTCGCTCCTCTCCCCTTGCTTCCCTCCCTCTCTCCCACCTCTCTATTTAGTAAAAGGTAGGAAGGACGGCTTTCCTAGAGGAGGTGAAGGCACACATTTAGGATCTCACTAACTGTGTCTTTTGTTACCGGCCATCTCTCTCAGCTGGGTCACGCCATTCGCCTGCTCCTGGAATACACAGAGACAAGCTACGAAGAGAAGAGATATGCCATGGGGGACGGTAATGACACTCTTCTGGCCAGGTTCTTCCCCTGGCTCTGTTCATTGGTGCCCAGTGGCCTCTGCCTAGTTTCCTGTTTTTCAGCTCCGTAGCTCTCCTACAGATGAACCCAGAGCATATCCCTTTTAGAAACCTCTTTGAGGGTGCAGCTTTGCTTTTCAATACAGGATCTTGGTTGTGGGATGTTGGCCCTTTTCTGCCTGTAATTGAGTGAGGTTTGCCCAGCACTAGTGATATAAGGCCTCCAGCCCTTAAGGCCCTATTCAAACGCACAGCTCTGGGATGAAAGGGTTACTGGGTCAGACTGCATATCTCCTGCACCAGGGGAGCTGCCCTCCTTGGGACAGTTTTGGGAAAGGAGGCTTAGATGCAGGTGATCTTTTCTCACATCCTCTTGTCTACAGCTCCCGATTACGACCGAAGTCAGTGGCTGAATGACAAATTCAAGCTGGGCCTGGACTTTCCCAATGTAGGTGAAGGGAAGGAGAGGTTTGGAGAAGGTGTGGCGTCCTCACCTCATCTCCTTGCCTGGCTGAGGGGGTTTGGGGTCAGAGCTTCAGCTCTCCTGCTCCAGTTCCTGGTGGCTGCACAGTGTGTCTGTGATGGGCTGTGTCCCAGCTCTCTTCCGTTCAGTGTGTAGTGTGTTCCTAGAAGGCACACTGAATGCCAGATCCCATGTCTGTCCCCACCCAGGGAAGAGATGATGGATCCCTCCCTCATCACATTTAACTATCCCTGCTTGTCCATCCAGCTGCCCTACTTAATTGACGGGTGCCACAAGATCACTCAGAGCAACGCCATCCTGCGCTACCTTGGCCGCAAGCACAACCTGTGTGAGTGGGGCTGGCTGCAGGGTGGGGCATGAAGGTCATCCCCCTGGGCTTGTCTGGGGCGGGGTGCTGAGGCTGAGTGTGCTGTGTGCTGCAGGTGGGGAGACAGAGGAGGAGAGAGTTCGTGTGGACATTGTGGAGAAACAGGTCATGGACACCCGCATTCAGATGGGCATGCTCTGCTACAGCCCTGACTTTGTGAGTTCCCACTCCATGGCATACGCTGGGTTTGCAGGAGCAGTTGAGGGCTTGTGTTCACCTCCACACTTTTCCTCTGGAATTTGAACCCACCCATACTGATTTCCCAGGCTTTCCTATCCTACCAACCTGTTGAGCTACCAACTCACCCCCATTTTGTCAATGAACACTACGTATCAATTGCGAGAAGTTGCGAGGCATTGTCATGACACCCACGGTTGGAAACTCATTTCCTACATAGTGGATTCCTGGTTTCAGTTCTCTTCAACTTTGAGCTTGTTCCTCCTTGTCCAGTTCACACACCAACTACCACTCCTGGAGTTCAAAGATGAAAGTCAGAGTGAAAGAAGTCATGGGCATTCAGAAACAAACCCAACAGTTTTCCCACAGCTGAGTCCTCAGTAGTAGCAAAAGTGAGGGCCTCTTGCTAAAAGACAGCTATGGTCAGCCGGAGAACCACTGTCCCTTTTGACATCTGACCCTATTCAATTGTATTTGCCCTACTCAATGTTTAAGGATTTTTCCTATTACCATGTCTTAGAATTAACTTCTTCTCTTCATTTGAAATGGTTAAATTTCTACTGGCCCTCTCAATCAAGAACACGAGATACCCACGAAGTCCTAGGTTAGATGTCAGTCGTGACAGATTCAGGGACAGTGTGGCATTGCCATGTAACTTCTGATCACCCCTGAGAGATGAGGCCTGTTAGCAGACAGGAGCCTAACCATGAAAACAGTGAGACATCAGTCGGTGCAAGCCTGGTCTTAGGAAGGCGCCTGCTCCTTTGTAGAGACCCCTGAGGGCGTTCTTCCTCCATTGGGGCCTGAATGAAGGTGTGACAGCTGTTTTCTGCTTCAGGAGAAACGGAAGCCAGAGTTCTTGAAGGGCCTCCCAGGTCAGTTGAAGCTCTACTCTGAGTTCCTGGGCAAGAGGCCTTGGTTTGCAGGGGACAAGGTAAAGAGGGTAAATGGGGAGGAGGAGGAGGAACCGCTATTCTTCCCCGTCTACCTGGTCCCATCCCACTGACCCCGCCTCCTGCAGATCACCTTTGCGGATTTCCTAGTCTATGATGTCCTGGACCAGCACCGTATGTTTGAGCCCACGTGTCTGGATGCCTTCCCCAACCTGGAGGACTTTGTGGCTCGCTTTGAGGTGAAGTCCTGATCCTCCTTCTTCTTAGATGGCCTTTCCTTCCCCCTTTCTAGGATATTTCTCTAGTCCTGAGGGTTAAAAGAATAAGAAGGATCTATTGAGCCCTGGCTTTTTTGCCAGGATGCATGTTCAGCCTCTTAGGTCTTTGAAGTCAATTTACCATTGCAACAACAACCTGGATAGAATTAGATGTCCCCTGGACTGATAAGGGATCTGAGACTGTAGAGGGCTGTTTGCTCAAGGTCCTAGGAGAAGCTGTTCTGGGCTCCTGGCTGCCTTTGACTTCTAAAGACAGCATTCAGTGCATCTCTGATTTGTGCAAAAGGGAAAGTCAGGCCTTTGTACAGTCTGGGTTTCCTGCCTGGGACCTGTGTCATGCAGAACATGTAAAGAATGTGTTTGTTCCTGCAACCATTGGGCAGAGACCAAGGCAGATTGATGTGTAGAACCAAAGCATACTCAGTGGTCACACCTGGCCTGCAGAATGATATAGTCAGTCTTGTTTCTGACTAGGGAAGCAGGGTAATCGCTTCCAGGGATGATTTTATCTTGAATTCTCTTGGTGGGTGTACTCTTTACTCTTGCCTCCCCATTTCTTTCATATCTTATGTTCCTCTATGAAACGAGGTCATACTTTTATTTCTATTCAGTTTCTTTGATTATCCTCTGTGTGTGG